CTGTCTCACTCTCTCACTCTCCTGTGTCTCCCGCAGGCTCCAGGCTCAGTAAAGTGTACTCTCACTCCTCGCTGTCTCTCTCCACCATGGCCAATGACACAGGCGGCTCCCTGATGGTGAAGAAGTCCCCCAGGTGAGAGGCTGACACAGGCAGGCTCACATCCCCTCTGGACACGTCGGCATTCTTGTGTGTCCTGCCCCCCCCCGGCTACTGACCAATCCACTTCCCTATCTCCCTCAGAGCTGATTCGCCCTTGGGTCTGATGTCACCGAGCCGGCTGGCCAATCAGAACGGAGAGAAGGACTGGGAGAACGCCTCTACTGCCTCCTCTCCTGCCTCTATCCCAGAGTACACAGGTGCGTCCCAGTCTTACGCCACAGAGACTTCAAGGACAAGATAAACTCATTTAGAAAATCTTACTATACCACAGTTTCAGAGCCTGTCTGTAGCAGTTTCAGGCTTTTTCTTAAATATGACATGCCAGCAGGAATACAGACTTAACCCCTTCGTCTGTTGGTGTACAATACTGTAGACCACTGTAGCTAAATCAATTTCTCCAGTTTGGCTAAATTCAGAACATTTTAGTTCAAGGGCTGTAGCCGACGCTTCTCAAGTGCATGACAAACTACTTGTACTCAGAATGAAGGTTTGGAGTTAAGAGTACGAGTCACAATGGTTTGTGGGTATGAATGTTAATTAGTTTTTCGTCCAATCGTTACGCTACAGTTTCTAATTCTGCCCTTTTGCACATAATAGTTGAAGTTATGGATACAAGCATACAGACGGCTGTTTCACTTTTACAGCCCTAACAGGTCAAAATTCAAATATGTATTAAGAAAGCATTTACTGCCCGTTATATATAAGTCAGTTTATTATAACATGTAAATGCTTTATTAGTGCCTACTTACGTAATGGACAATTCATTGTTCTGCAGGCTATAAAGAGTTAGGTGTAGGTCACATATCATGCAGGTTGGGAAGAAAGCGTCCTGATTCGTGTTGTGTGTTTGTGTCTGAAGGTCCGAAGCTCTATAAGGAGCCCAGCTTCAAGTCCAACAAGTTCATCATCCACAACGCCCTGTCGCGCTGCTGCCTGGCGGGCAAAGTCAACGAGCCGCAGAAAAACAAGATTGTGGAGGTAAGATACCCCCCCAGGCTGCCGATCGACCCTCTGGGCTGGAATTTAATTTCACTGTCCCTGTATGGAGGCCAGGGGCAGTGCAGTGTGCTGCAGGAGGACCTCCTCCAGTTTAACCAGGGTCCTTTCTACTTGGAAACTAGAGATCGCATGGCTGTGTAAGAGCAGGGGGGTCAAGCCCAGATCCTGGCTAATCTCCGCTGATCGAACTGGTGCGGCAGCTGCTTCCTCCTGCCCCTGCCCTGCCGTGTGCCTCCCTCGGTTTCTCTTTGGGGTGCTTTGGGTGGAGAGTGGGTCTGTGAGTGCAGGTACTTTAACTGTAATCCCTGCGATCCGTCTCCCTCCTCTCTGTCCCCTGTCCCCTGTCCCCTGCCCCTGTCCGCTGCGTGCTCTCGCAGGAGATGGAGAAGAGCAAGGCCAACCACTTCCTGATCCTGTTCCGCGACTCCAGCTGCCAGTTCCGCGCCGTCTACACCATGAACCCCGAGACGGAGGAGATGGCGCGGCTCACGGGCTTCGGCCCGCGGGTCATCACGCCAGCCATGGTGGAGTCCATCTACAAGTACAGCTCCGACCGCAAGCAGTTCACCCCCATCCCCTCCAAGACCATGTCCATGAGCGTGGACGCCTTCACGATACAGGGGCATCTGTGGCAGAGCAAGAGGCCGGGCACCCCCAAAAAGCCAGGCACCCCCAAATAGCCTGAATATGCGGCAACAGCCAAAGGCCAGCTCCACCTAAAAACAAATAATTTCCACCCCCCTTCCCTCCTTCTGCCCACCCTCCTTTGGGCCTCCGGCTCACCCTGGGGAAGATCTGGTCCCGGGAAGAATGGACCTGTGTTACTGGGGGCGACCTCCCTTTCTGTGTCCAGCTTCTGACCCGCAGTCCGGACCCCAGTGTCCCGACCTCTTCTTTCTGCAGCCACTGGCCTTGCCAGGACTGTCTGTCAGTATCTCCCCCCCTCCATCGGCGAGTTCCTGTTATCAGGATGGTGTGCATCAACAGGACCTGGGGCCACGCCCCCCCGGCTGTTTGTTTGTAGGACGACTCCTGTTTAAGCTGTGATGACCTGGTCGCCGCGATGGGTCAGGGTCGTGACCCAAACCCAGAACCCGTCTGGAAAGTGGAGCGGAGGGGTGCGGCGTTTTTTAGGAAATTGTGTAGACACTGATTTGCCAAACTCAACAGCCTGGTGAACAGGGGCTTTTGTTAGGGGCGTGGCTTGGAGGGGTGTGGCCTGTGGGTGTGGCCTGGAACGGGGGCGTGGTCCCCAGGCTCTGGACTCACTTACAATGCCTTGCTTTTTTTGTGTTTCTGCTTCAGTGAAGAACCTTTAAAAAACGGTGGTGAAGACCGAAGGAAAAGAGGTGTGGGTGAAATGTTTTATTTGTGTAGGGCCTGGCTCTGCCCCTGCCCCGCAGCTCAGAACCAGACGGCTCTGGGCCACATCTTGAATGTACTGTACAAACACCGAGCCCGTCCGTTCCTCAGCGGGACAGAGCCGGGGGTGTTTCTCGGTGCACCACGAGAACACCTCTGTCCCGATGCGCCAACTGTTTTTTAATTCTGGAGGAAAGGCATTCATCTCTTTGCCTGTGGAGGGGAGGGTAAGGACAGCCCGTTTCTGTCTGTCTAGGCAGTCGGCCTATTTTTCTACAGCTTCGATGCTCTTCTGGACAAACGATATATACACAAGACCGAATTGCACAGCCTGTAGACTCCTCTCTGATTACAGGCCCGTGCCCGAGTCCTTTCTTCTGACCGGGCAAGCAGGACTTTTTGTTATCTCCTTGTTTTTGATGCTTCCTTGCAGATTTTTAGCAAACCTGTATGCTTGTAAGGAGCAATGGAAGAATGAAGTACTAATAATATATATATATAATATATATAGAGGTGGTTGCAAGTCAAAACTGCAAAAAAAAATGCTTCTGTTGAAACGAATCCAAGTGAAAAATCAGAGATGATCTGTATATATGAAGGCTATTTAATGATTTTGTTTTCTTTTTTTTGCGATGATTTGTATGAACTGGAAATGACTCTGTAAGGCTGTAAGCTTGCTTGTTGCTGGACATGAGCGGCGGAGTTTAATACGTGTGGGCGAATGGAGCAGAGGGGCGATTTAGGGCGTATGCTAGGGGATCTGACCCTACAAGACCTGGGAAAATAAAAAAAACTACATTTGAAAGCGTTCCAGATTGCTGGAGGATTTGAGTGAAGGTACAGATGCTCTTTTGTAGGGATCTAGAACACAGATATTTGTCTGCTAGTTTTCATTCCACCATGCAGTCTTAAGTCTGGGCTGGAATCAGTTGTTCACCCAGTTAATTAGTACTGTTTCTGGGATCACAGGTTTCTTCAAAAACCTGGAGTGGTGTAGGGCCCTGTAGGACTAGGAGTGGTTGGGGTTCAATACCCAGTGGCGCTTCTAACTTTGGGCTGCACAACTCCAGTCCAGGAGGTCTGGTAGGTTTCTGGTTTTCTTTCCACCTGAGCCCATAATTACCTCATTGAACTCAGTATTGGCTTAACTGGACTCATTGATGCTTGTCCTATCCTTGTTCTTGAGAAGCTGGAGAGTTGGGGACCCCAGTCTAAGCGATGGGGGGGGGTTGACCAGTGTCACTCCAAAACTGACAAAACCTAAGCTTGCTTTTCGCCAGTAAGAAGCAGCAGCTTTTTTCCATCATTGAATCAATGCAAGTATATAGAAAAATAAAGATGCAAGATCGTTTTGCCCCCCTTTGTATCACAGAAGCCACCCTCGCCCAGAAGACGCTGCTGCACACTTCAGTGTTGTGTGAGCGGGGACCCTGCTCCTGGCAGCTCTCTCGTCACACAGCCCCAGTCTCGGTCAGCAGAGGCGATGAATCTCCCCGTTTTTATCTTCAGTTCGGCTGAAGGCACATCCCACAGGGCACTTCCAATCCAGCCAGGGGGCCTCGGGGTGTCTTGGGGTTCGTGGGGTGCTCCGAAGAACTGTAACGGAGCACACGCGAGGAACGCAGTGTCTTGTTCATTCACAGGTGCGTTAAGAGGTGATTACGAATGATAATTTAAAAGGGCTTTCGCTTAAACACCTTAGTTATTGTTTTTGGACAATCGTCTTTGTTTTCTTGTGCACTGGAATGCTCGATCAGTGTTTTACCCATTTTTCTAAGGCATGTTCTCCCTGTGTTCACGTCGGTTTCCTTCGGGTGCTCCGTTTTCCTCCCACAGTCCACAGACATGCTGGTGGGTCAGCTGGCTTCTGGGAAAACTGGTCCTGGTGTGTGTGTGTGTGCGCCATGCACTGGTGTCCTGTCCAGGGTGTACCCTGCCTTGCACCTGGTGCTTGCTGGGATCGGCTCCAGCTCCCTCACGGCCCTGTGCTGTTAGAAGCTGAGCTGTGGTGTAAAACAGACGTGCGTGCTGTGTTTGTCCACGAGACCAGAACCGGTCCGACTGAGCTGAGTGAGCAGAACCTTCTCGGGTTAGCCCAACACACACGGACCAGCGGGCAGAAGGTAGAAACGGGCTGCAAAAGCAGTGGTGTTGCTATTAACGAATATAGCGCTTAGCAACTGTGAATCCCACAGCTGACAAGGTGTGGGGCCCATCTTCAAGACTTAGAAATGTCCCCCTTTCAGCACAGTGCTGCTCAGAGTGGGGTCTCCCCTGCTCAGCATTTTAAACCTCACCAGGGAAGAAGCAACTGCAACATGTTGAATCAGAAAGTGGTTAGAAACCAATCAAAGCAGGAGAAAGGCCAGCAGTTTGAATGCCAGCTATTTAGTCTCCTGTGACACTCGGGTGTCCCTGTGGGTTGCATCCTCCTGGGGGTCTTTGGCAGTTCAATCTCTCAATTAGCTTTGCGAGCCTGAATGTTTGCTGTACTGGATGGAAACTGAACACCTCTGTCAAGGCGTGAAATTGTGTTGTAACTACTGTACCCCAAATTCAAGGGTCTTATACAGATCGTGGGCTATCGTCAATAATGAGCCAATAAAGAGACCTGGTCGACTAATTTAGAAGGTGAATTGCAAATGAAAATGGGAAGACGGACACGGGGTGAGTCCCTGGTTCTGGGGTCCCCTGTGGTGCAGCTTATCCATACCTTAAAACATGTCTTCTTGGGTGTCACTGCCTTCTTTTTAAAAAAAGAATTTAGTCTCTAGTTGTTCTCATTTTGCAATAGTACAGTGCCCTGCTGTGCTACCACCACCTCCCAGCCAGAGAATAGCCCCAACACAGCACCAAGCACCAAAGGGAGTGGGCTCCAACACAGCAGCATGGTTTATCTGCTGCTGCTTGGTCTGCCTTGAATCAGCAGGGGCCTGATGTAGACTATCACGACTGCCTCTCCGGTGTGGAAAATTGGTGAGGGGGGAACCCAGTTTTTTTTTGGGTGTGGTTAAATAGCCAGTCTCTATGATGCTGGTCTAGTGTTTCCTGGACATGTGTGTTGTATGAATAATTCACTGCACCCTACTGTCTGAGGTGCAAGATGCTTGCTGCTAAATAACTTGACTAGGGTTCTGATCCGATCTCCTTACTCTGAGGATCTGAGTTCCTTGGCACCACTGAAACCACTAAGAAGCCGACTGCAGGCACACGTGTTTGAATCGGACAAAGTCTTGCACGCACCTGCTCTTGTGAGCTGCGCATTACGATCTCAGCACTCAGCCCAATCAGATTGCAGGGCCCTGAGATGTGATGCAGGAGGCCGTGTGTCAGCGTGTGTCTTGAGTCTTGAGTCTTGAGTCTTGAGTCTTGAGTCTTGAGTCTTGAGTCTTGAGTCTTGAGTCTTGAGTCTTGAGTCTTGAGTCTTGAGTCTGTGCACGCGCTGTGGTTTCTGTGCTGTCCTACTGTGAAAACTGCCACCTCTCTCCGAGTGAGGTGCGTATTTATTGGAAGGATGGAGATGCAACTGTGCTGGGTCTTGTTCTGTTTTTGATTTGCAGATTTTATTATTTATGTCAGGGATCTGATTTCTGTTGATGTCGTTTCTGTGTTCACGAGGAGGTGGATGTTTTCCCCTCTTGCCGCTCTGTGCATGAATGTCGCCTCCCCAGCCCTGAACTGTACATATCCCCTGTCCACACAAACGAGCCGCAGGTGTTGCCACCTGGGAAGACAAATAAAACCCTTTTAAAACGAGCCTCAGCTTTTCTTTACTGGAGTCAATTTATTTATTTATTTTTCCCTCATGCCCAATTTGATTTACAGCTTTGCGTTTCTTGTGTTCCATCCCTGCCTGTAGGAGCTCATTTTTGCCATCCAACTTTATTTTAAAAATGCCCACCATAATGGGAGCAAGAGGCATTTCTTGAAGGGATGAGAGGTTTTCAACATGGTATTTGAATTCACCTGTTAATGGACTAATTTAGTCAGAGATGTCTGGGGGTGGGGGGGGGGCTGAGGGAGGGCAGGAAAGTGGGTGAGTGCACCTCACTGCACCAGGGTATATCGAAGTGGGGGCGTCGACCCCACTGTCCCAGATCAAACCCCTCCCCCTGGCACTCTGGGGCAGAGGGTCCGGCTACGTGGCTTGACCTTGTGTCTCTCACACTGTCCTTTCAGTTGAAGAGATTGTTTCACGGCACAGCCCCAGGGTGTCTCTACAGAGTTGATTGCGGGGCTGATCCATCCAGTTCATGGTGGGGATGGTACTGGTTCCCCTGCCTGGCCCGGTTCGTTACACTGACCCACCCACTTGCGCCTGCGTGAAAGCCTGGTGTCCACTGCTTTGTTTGAAACGGGTGGTGGACGGCGGCTGGACACCGGCCTTCCGCGCTGGCTTGTGATGAGCTGGTTCCAACCGCAGCTGCTCCGTCTTGCTCGAACCCTCACCGGCCCGGGGGCCAGGGCTCGGCTCGGGCGGCGCCTCCCTCGGGCTGGGGAGGAGGAGGGAGACACCTGCTCCTTCCTCTTCTCCAGTACGAGGCGCGATCCAGTTTCCCCGGATTAATGGAAAAGAGGCCGCAACCACATCCCTCCCCCTCCCCCTCCCCCCCACTGGAGAGGAGAGAGGGTTACCTCTAAATCTACTGGGAAGATGGGAGCCGAGGACAGGTGCTCCCAACAGTGAGACGTCATGATGATTCCTCAGGCTTCTAGAGCGCTTTTCTGGACTCTCCACTCGGAGCGCTTTACAGGTAATGGGGACTCCCCTCCTCCACCACCAGTGTGCAGCCCCACCTGGATGATGTGACGGCAGCCATGGTGTGCCAGTACACTCACCACACACCAGCTCTCAGTGGGGAGGAGAGCAGAGTGATGAAGCCAGTTCAGACATGGCAGTAGGAGGACACGATTGCTAAAGGCCAGTGGAGGATTTGGTCAGGACACTGGGGTTACACCCCTACGCTTTTAGAGAAACGCCCTGGGATTTTTAATGACCACAGAGAGTCGGGACCTCGGTTTTACATCTCATCTGAAGAACAGCACCTTTTTACAGTATAGTGTCCCCGTCACTATACTGGGGCTTTAGGACCCACACAGACTGCAGGGTGAGCGCCCCCTGCTGGCCCCACTAATACCTCTTACAGCAGCAGGTTTAGTTTTTCCCAGGAGGTCTCCCATCCAGGTACTGGCCAGGCTCACACCTGCTGAGCTCCAGTGGGCAGCCAGTTGTGAGCTGCCCACACGCTCACTTGAATGCTGCCCCCACCCTCCTCTGGATCCCCGAAGCTGGAATCGGAGGGTGTGAGGCGGGACGGTCCGTCTGTGGGGTCCGGGTGAAAGCGGAGCGCCCGTGCTGGCAGGGGCAGCAGGTGTGGAGTGCCCGGGCCGCTCCTCAGGCCTGCTTGGCGTGCAGCATCTCCGTGAGCAGGGAGTTGCAGGGCAGGTCTCCCTGCAGGTGCCGCAGGTACAGGTACTCCTCCGTCTGCAGGCTCAGGCCGCGCACCTCCGGCAGCTTCAGCAGCAGCTGGCCGAACTTGTCCGTCTGGCCCGGGTGCGCCGCCATGGTGTGCTCCATGAGGGTCCGGTTCACACCCTCCTGCACCCGCTCCACCTGCCCGCCGGCCCCCAGGCCCCTCGTGTCTAGAACACGAGAGCAGAGGCGTTAGGAGATCTGTCAGGGGCATTACAGCAAGAGGACAGCTGGTGCAGTGGTTAAGATACAGGACTGTCACACCAGGAGGACAGCCGGTCCAGTGGTTAAGATACAGGGCTGTCACACCAGGAGGACAGCCGGTCCAGTG